TTCCCAACAAACATGAGAAAAATGTGAAAGGAAGTCTACACGCAATACAGGACCTACCGTAAAAGTAAATATTGACGGCAAAAGCATATGTTATGAAGGGCTGAGGATCACCAGGCGTAAGACCAACTATGTCTCTCCGGTAGATCTACATTTGAAAAGGTATGAGGATTGCATTTGCATGTGCTTTCATGAAGCTCTTGGCATCATACGACAATACTAATTACATCTCATACCTCCTTAACTTCAGCTTGGCACTCTTTTTCCCAGCCAGATATAAAGCATGTAGTAGTATGTGAAAGTTCAGCCAACTTTCCGCAAAAATTTAAAGGTATGTATTGTGTATGTACAGTATGAGAGCGAGTCTTTTCTCACTATAGGCCTTGTATTTAGGAAAACAAGATGTCTTCTGATGCAGATAATGACAATATTATTCTTTATTGTCTTATTGTTCCGTGTGGAGAACTTCATTCTCTTCCACGCGATCAAGTTCAGCAAACAGTTACAGTTGGTAGGAGCCAAGCAGTTAGCGTACTTGAAGCTACAATTCAAAGCAGATTAGGGGCACCCTTCAACAATATTCGTCTAAAAATTCGTCAAGTTTTCCCCAGTGAGGCGCTTATGCAACTGCAGGATTTGATTTCCACTTTTTTTAATGAACAACCCCGACCAGACTATTACCATGTCATAGCTCAGCCTCTCTTAGGCTCAGAATAATTTTCTTATAACATGTAGTGATATATTTGCAATTTTTATGTATTGTAAGCTGACTTCCGGCAACGTTTTTATTAAATAAAGCATATATTATGTGGTCCCGTTCATCTCGATAAATATCACGTATAATTGTGTAATATAATCACCTGACAGTTCTGTACTACATCTTAATTGCATATATATTTGGCAAATGCATTATGAATCGATACAAAAAAATCTATCATTTCCACCCGAACGCCGAAACCAAAAATACTTTTATATCCATAAACCAGCTTTACTTGTAACTGCATATTTTTTCGCAAGCACAAACTCACATATATAAAAACTATGTCTTCACAAGCCTCTACACCTTCTTCTCCAAGCTCAATAATGGAAGAAGTTTCTTCTCGAACGATGGCGGACGTTATTAAAGATTATGATACAGAGGAGCTTATTGAATATTTGAAGAGAAAAGACTTGAAGCTCAAGGAGACACACTTTAAAATTTTACGTAAGGAAGAAATCACTGGTCTTGCTTTTCTTGAGTTAACTGAGGAAAAATTTGAGCGATATGGTATGAAAGGGGGACCTACAACAGTTCTTGTAAAATTTATTGAAAGTCTCAGCCAGAAATTACGTAACTACTTCTCATATAAAACTCTTGATAACTTGAAGGAGATGTTGCGTAAGAATAAGGTCAATGGGGAGGATATAACAAATATAAAGCAGTTTTCACCTGGTAAGTAAATACTATATTATTTTTCCAAGATTATACGTCATAAATAATAACATTTTTTTTCCTCCCACAGTCTTCGAGAAAATTAGTGATGATGATAAGTCATATCATCATTGCATGAAGGATATAATATTAAAGCTTTCGAATATAGAGACCATGACGGATGCCAATGAGGTGATACGATGTGAATTTATATCGTCAGTCCTCCATGCTTCAATTGCCATTACTAAAAAACTTACCTCTCGAGATATATTTATAGCATTGCAGAAGGACGTTTCTGGTGAAGATGCAACAGGTCGAGTAGACTACACAATCAAAAGTCTGGAAGATCTCATATGTATCACCGAGGGGAAGCCACGCAATATCAAGATTGATTATGCCCAAGTAAGTCTACCATATACTTTTTTCGAATTGATAGAAGATTCAATGTTAACGCACTTTATATTTCTCAGAACCTAGCATAGCTTGAAAGTGCGTTCCATATAATAAGAAACAGACTGCAGACCAAGCGTTCAATGAAGATTATTTTGACTATCTTTATGGAATCGTGACCACAGGGGCGGAATGGCACTTTATTATATATACTCCGGATGGAATCTACTGTACAAGTGGTAGTGAATATCAGATTAATCTTACGAAGACCGTCACCAAAGATAACCCAGAATTACTTCGTAGTAATGTGAAAAGGATAATTGGCTTAATTGTTGGGTTGTTGAAGGATTGTGTTAGTGTAGATAGTTCTCCAGCTAGTAAGAGGGCTAGGGTCAAAAAAATTATCAAAAAATAAAATGTATCCTGGGCTACGTCTCAAACTATGTATTTAATTTTCACATGTAATAATAATAAAAAAATTTCTTGGCAAAATTCAACCGGGGGGTCCGGCCAAAAACACATTTTTTATTTTGAAATCTTATGTACAGTGTATTAGTTATATATAATAGATCATGTCATCTGAGCTTGAATTATCGAAATAGCGTATTACTGAACTTGAGGCTGAGAATTCCAGTCTTAGAATCAAGCTCTCAGTGTCTGATTCTGAAATAGCTGAACTTAAACGCAGGAATATCGAGTTTCTAAGAGTGAATAAGGAATATAACGAGAGGCGTGATGCTGAAAATGCCAAACTCAGGGCTAGAATCGAGGAGATGGAATCTGAGTTTGGAGATAGAATCACGAAAGTAGAACAGAAGCAGACTCTAAATGAGCCGAGAGGCGCTTCGCATAATTCTTCTAACAACAGTTCACCTAGCTTCAATTCAGTTGCAGTACCAGAGGTGATAATGGTACCTACTAACTCTGCGAAGCGCCTTAACGGCAAACCGTTGGAAGAGAAAGAGATGGATAATTTCTTGGTTGAGGCTCATAAGAAAATCATTAGTAGTGAAATAAAGCAACGCAATAAAGAGAAGAAACTTCTACGTGAGTCAGCTAAAAATCAAGTCCTGGCTGTTACTTCTGTAGATTCGAAATTATCACGTGACAAAAAAACTGTTACCAATGGTAACAATCAAGATTTGAAATTATCACTTAACACAGGTGATAATATCTCTGCTTCATCATCCATTGAGGACAACTTATCATGCGACACAAAAATGATCACTTGTACCGATAGTGAGGATACCCTATCTGATGAAATGTCTGGGCCAATTGCTACACAACCGCTTGATAGAAATCAAGTCACTGAGCAAACTTTGAAGCATGAACTTTCTAGGCCTATTTCTTCAGTGGCACCAGTTGAACTACATGATGAGTCCATCTTGAACAATGCAATTGAGGGCTCTACACAGAGATTAGCTTATTGGATTGGTGAGGCTATAAGAATGGGTCTAAAAGAGATCTTATGCTTGTATCATTATTCCCTCGAGTTTGAAGAAAAAGTAAAAAATATTACAGCTGATGGCAAGACTAAAGATAAGACAGCAAGATCGATAATATACAAAGATATGTTGCAGTATTTACCTAATGTCACTCTGGGTAATTTACGAATCCGAACACATAGAGCTAAAAATATTCTTATGCTATTTGGAGAAAAAGGGGTCAGGATAGATAGAATTAAGTTAGTCACTTGTAGCGCGAGTGATATTTCTAGATTAACCAATACCCAAATTCAAAATATTATAGATTATGTGAACGGTAAAACCGTTACCAATGGTAACGATCAGAATCATGTGACCTCAAAAACCGTTACCATTGGTAACGATCAAAGTCATGACCTTTCATCAGTTACACCCCAAGCAACTGCATCAATTCCTGGGATTAATCTAACTTATGACCGATCCTATTTTCGCAACAAGACATTGGATCAATATCCTAATCTATATAGAGAATTTAGTAGCGAAAATTTCGATTATTATGGCATTACCGATGAGACATCATGCCCATTATGCGAGTTAGGCCATGATGATGATGAAAGCATAGAAGGTAGATATAAAGCTGGATCCTATTTTATTAAATGTGAACAGCGCGAAAACGAAATAGTTGCATAGTTTCATTGCTTTGGTAACTCTTTAGGATGATAATCTATCTGAGAATTTTAATCTTTTTTTCGAATGAATAGATCTATATGAGAACAAAGAGATTTAAATTGTTTGCAGTCATATAAAAAGGAAAATGACCAAGTCCAATTAAATATTAACTCCCGAATACCTGGATTGGCATGCCAAATTAACTGGGTTACCAAGTGTTTTGACAGATAGGATTCGGACCAGCTTATACAAAAAATATAAAAAAGAAACTGGGTATGAGACATGGCAATTAACAGAAGCGCATGCATCAGAAGCCAGCCTTCTCATAAATTCGAAGCCAGAAAACAAAATATCCTATTTATCTTTTTCTGAACAATGTGAAGAAAAAGGGCCTATCACTTTCGAAGTCAAACCTGATCAAGAGTTAATTATCAAATCCGTCTTAGAGCACTTCCCATACTTGAAATTCCAAAATAGTTTTAGAGGGATTGATAATTATAATTTTGCATCACCTCAGCCGTGGAGCTCACCATGTCCTATTTGCGATGGAAAACATGGGAATTACGGATTACATGGTGAATGGTATAAAAATGGAATAGAATATTGTCTTGCTTGCTTCACTTCAAGCAATAAATTCAAATTCATAATCGTAGTATAGAAACTCCGTCATGTGAGGCCGATATCGGGGCTGTGTGACGAAAGATTTTTTTTCCAAATACATATCTTCCGAATAGGCAGTATGAAAAGGTGCCAGCGAAAAAAATACTGGAGAGGAAACTTCCGGACAAGACATTTATGCAGTTAAGATGGATTTACTTTCGGTTGTGTTATGCATTTGCAAGGAAGCAACAAGCTAATAGACAATTTTTTCATTTAGGATTTTGAAAATCATATTAGCATCACGGAAGAGCCAGCAGTATAATGCTTCGCTCATACGAAATTTTTTTATCATTTTAGTTTGAAGTAGTGTCATCATGTAGCCTGTATTATGTAGTTTTTTCTCGTACGATCAATAAAGCAAAGACGCAAATTTACTAGATATGGGGTTGTGGGAAGCATGTATGCTAATATTTTTTCGATCAAGTTTTATTGTAACAAAATCATTGATCCAGAACTCGATAAATGCGCAGTAATATTATAGTAGTAAACGTCACATGTATCACGGGAGCAAGTAATTGCGCAAAATAATTTATTCTCAAACTTTCTCGCATATTCTCAAAATTATTACGTATATTATTATTAAAAAAGGGCCCCTTGATGATCCTTACATATGGATAGCGTTAAGTTAAGGAGAGGCGGTTGATCAGATTTTCGTGATGCGATCATATTAACGTAATCTACCCCCAAAAGTGTATAACAAAATCGATCCTGTGAATTATATAAAATGGTGATGACCCTGTTAGTGAATCCATTTATCCGCCTTGTGCAAATAAAAAAACGAAAAATTAAGCGAAACATTCAAACTTACCATAATTAACATCATCAATATTATCTCCAATCAAACAAACGAGTATATTCCGTAAAGTATTATAAGTTTATTGCTCGGCTAGCTTCTTGAAACATGTCATCACGATCTTAATCGATTTTCCGCTATAGATGTTCCATAATAAAACGGACATATTGCTCTTCTTGTTATATATCGGCATTTTGATCTTCGCCGAGAAAATCACTGACCATGCGTACAATAGACACGGTGAAATTACTCACATGACATGCAATGGCACAGCAAAAGTCTGGCGCAGTATATCAAATAATTTAAGCATATTCACGTGCCGAATTCTTAAAACTTTGCGCAGTATCGTACTGGCGATAACGCAGAAAAATTAAGCAAACAATTCCTTGTATATGAGGCGGAATGTAATGTTATTAAAATGAATCGTAGTGGTGAGTATAAATCGTAAATATGTTTGCGTTGCTTATTTTTTTTACCTCAGTTGTTAATACCCCGTAATTATGCAGTAGGTTCGAAATTACTTAATATTGCGAAAGTTCTACTTTATATTGTGAGTGGGAGAGATATAGATAGACAAAAATTCTGTAAATATGGGTGGGATAATTTATTTCGGAAATCTAGTGTATTAAAAGAGTGTGGGGATGAGAATCTTGTAGTTAGTAAAATAGCTATAGAAATTTATCTGAAATCTGAGAGAGCAAAGAAATAACTTGATGCTGGGACTCCTCTTTGATAGCATCAGATATTTCGCTCGCTACCTCTATCATTTTATATCTAAAAATTAATAAAGATTTCGCCTATATAAACAAACGAAAATACTCCCTTTGAAAGCATAAAACATTATGACTTTATAGATGCGAGGCAATGGTTGAAATATAGTAAAGCAGTATATGCTATTATTAACCAAAAGAAAAGTGCAGTCAGTGTTGAAGCGTACCACCTGGTCGAGCGTACTCATTCGCATACGGACTGTAATATATTACGTCCAGCTTATCCATGATGAATAACCGTAGTTTTTTCCCGACCTTCAACTTAATACCTAGCAGACACTTGCGCAGGGATCATTTACATATTTAATATGAAAACGTCCGCAGAATACAAGCGAGTAACCGTAGTTTTTTCTGCACGAGTAAACCAACTGCACTTTGAAGGGAACGGATGATTCTCTTGTCTATTAACTGTTTTTCATAATTTGTCATAGATCGCAAATCGCGAAATTAATAAGGCATCATGTGATAGTTGTGATACTGATGCAAAAGTATCGTTCTTATACCTGTACGACATACTTTCTTATACCCCCTATATGTAAACAAAATATGCATGGTACAAGAAAATAACACCTGATGGTCCAAGAACGATACTTTTGCGATACTGATGACTGATCGATTAGCTAAGTGTAATGTACTACGTAAATTACGTAAATCAAGATCGCGGCTAATCTACATAATCTACAGTATAAATAAATTTCAAAATGACAAAAGTACAAGAGATTCGCGAAAATCAATCCAACTTCCTGCGAACTTGCTCAAGTCCTCGTCCGCTTGAGTTCTTCAAGAGGTTTAAGTTTCGAAGCAAGTCATCTGGCTATAGCAATTATAAGTTAGGTTTGGAAAAAGCGTTGAAAGATGAACCAAATTCGGAGAATTTACTGGAAATGGAAAGAAAATATAACAACGATGAATTTAAAGATGAGTGGACGTTATATGATGACTGGAAAAAAAATAAGAAAGTCAATGTATGTTGTTTTTATTTGAGCTGAAGAAACTTATATACTAACAAAAATTTACCTTCAAAATAATAGGACAAGGTAAGGAAAAGAAAGCGCGAAGCCCATGCAACCTTTCACGCTCAATTAGACAATGATCTTATCGGTAGGAAGGTGAGTTGGTTATTTTTATTGATTTTATTGACGAAGCAACACTAATACTGTATTTTCGATGGCTAAGGAAACTGATGGAAACCCAATCAGTAATAATGAGAATGAGGAACCGGGGAAGGCTACTAGTTCGGTTGAACCGGATATAATAAATCCGGTCAACAACAACATCGACAAGGAGGGAGAAGAAGATGATAGCAAGGTCTGCACTTTTTTCGTAACGCGTTTGGAATATGATCGCAAAAATTTTTAATTCGTTTTGTTACTTTGTAGATACTTGTGCATGATATTCTCGATGATATTGTTTCAGCATCCCAAGCTGAAAAAGACATCTTAGATATATATCGCTCTAATTTCAGCCAATGTCTAGTCATGGATCTTCGATTAAATTCAGAACTCTCCCTTTCTTTAAATCAGGAATTACAAGATAAGATTTTACATGAAGTCTTCGATCCAATAGACAATAAATACATCCCAGATGAAATCCATAAATATCTTTCCGATTTCTTTAACGCTGACCATGGTAAACAGGGTTGGTGTGAAGCAATCCGAAGTATAGTCATTTATGAAAATGATTCAGGACTGTTAAAAGACATAAAAGAACTATTAAAAGAGACATTAGGGCGATTGTAAGTTGGAAATTGCAAATAATTCCATTTACATAGATCATAATAATCATTAATAGCTATTATATGTAGTGTAAAAGCTTTCTCTCTGGATGCATTGAACCCCTTGAGGGATGTGACGGTTTTAGAAAGACCTCATCTCAACCAATTTGTGCACCCGTTAATAGACTCTGTTCTGTGGATCTTTGCAAAGATCAATTACGCATCGCAAGTTGAAGTTGTTTTCATTTCTCCTTTCTTTTTTGATTTTCGTAAAAATTAATTCCATTTTTCTTGCATTTAGTGGTGAAATTACTTTGCAAGGAAAATCAAGAGCCATGGCAGACGGTGCTGGATTTCTCAATGATGTCTCAAATTATCAAATAGTTTGTATGGAGGGAGCGAAGCCGGGAGCGAGGAAAAAAAAAATCGTTGACGATGATGAAAAGAACATAAGAAACATGATGCAATTGTTTGATCATGTGATTATTTCAGAGGCTATGGAGCGAAGACAAATTTATACTGACCTTCGAATATATGGCGCTACTGCATATAGAACTGAACTTTCTCTCTCGATGTTAGACTTTCATGGTATAACAATATGTGAAATTTCATAATAATGTTATATAATAGCCTAGGAGTCTAAGTCTATTTTATTTGATTATCAGGTACATATCGATTGTTTGAAATAGATCGTTTCAGTCTTCCGAAAGATTGGGTAGATATGCCCAATTTCGTTTTTATGTATGAAGCTCTAATGAAATGGGCAGTAAGTATATACGTGAATTTTTCGTCTCTATTGCAAGGTATTATTTGTGTTAATAATAAAGTAATTATTATGTAGATGTGTATCCGTTATACAAGAGAAAATTTGATTGCTCAGCGTAAGAAGAGGAGGATGGGAAGATATTCTGAAGCAAGGATCGTTAAGAAGCTCGCATGTTTGAAGTGATTATGAGGTGGTAAATTTTATCATAGTAGTGATTGGAAAATTCAAATCGCAATAAAATAATGCATTGTATTTCTTCAATTGTGTGGCTGAGTTTTCCATGTTTTTAGACATGTATGCTTATCATTTACACAAATAAAGTTTTTTTATACAAATCACCAGGCAGAATCTGATTAGCCGATCATCCCGTGATTTGAGTTGCGAGAAGGTGACGGTGATACCTGTGATACTATATATCATGCAAAGCGTTTAGCTATTTATTTGAAAAAGGGTTGGCAATTTGACCGGTCAACCATCTCGTGATTTATAGAAACTCGCCATCTCCTGGAACTCTCCTAGAACTATCGAGGAATTGGCAGGGAACTAGGAGAGATCTCATGTGATACGATATACAGTACGCCATGCCACAAACTGATTTAGCCGAAGATGCTGTGCATATGCATGTAAATATAAAATTAGCTTAGCCGGCTAGATATGACCCTATATAACCGAATAAAAATGAATCTGATATTTATTAGAGTATAATATTGCTAAAATAGCTAAAATCGCTAAAAACACTATAAAACAATAAATCATTATAATCTA